CCCAGCCCCTCCCCCGTTCTCTTCCTCCCTGCCCCGCCTCTTCCCGCTCTGCCCCGCGGGGTCCCTGGCCCTTGCCCGGTCCCCACTCCTCGCCAGAGGGGAGGGGCGCGGCTCGTCTGACTTGCAGCGGGTAGAGTTGCCCGTCCCAGGGTTATCAGTCCGGGGGTCGCAGCATACCGAGGTCACATGGATCCGGGGTCGCATTGTTCAGCGTTCGGCCTGTGCCGGGATTGCGCACCTTCCCAGGGCTACAGCATCCTGGGCTTGCAGCCTCCCGGGGTCGCCCGTCCGGGGGTCGTCCTGGACGCGGAGAGGTGAGCGCGTGGCCTCCGAGAAGCCCCTGCACCGTCGCACTCCCGGCTCTGGAAGCGAGCTGAACCCCATTTGCCGGGGCTCCGAGTCCCCCCACTGCCCCGGACTCCCGGCCTGGGCAGCCGACCGTGAACGTCCGCTTCCCCCCCCCCGCAGCCCCGCGCGCGCACCCACTCGCGTTGCAGGCGCTGCGCAGAAGGCGGGGACCCCCAGAGGGAAGGTCTGCCCCGGAGGCGCGGGGAGAGTCCGGTGTTATGTGGGGCGCTGGGCACAGGTTCCATTGCCGTGGGCACGAAGCTATTGCAATCGCGGGGGCCCCAAGGAGGGATGTTTCCTCCAAGGGAGGACTGAGATGGTCCGCAGACAAAAAAGCAGCTTCTGGGCGGTGGGAGGGCCTGGGAGTGAGGGGTCCTGAAAGTTAAACTTCCCTGGGATTAACATCCAGGGGATTTATCAGATCACTACCTGGGGCGACCAGGCACGCTCTCTGACCTAGTGACATTCCCGCAGAAACCTTTAGGGGTAGGGGCCGATGGGCCCAAATTTTGGAAGAGCACGTACAGACCCCCAGGCCTGTGGGGTGGGGTGGGGCTGGGAATTGGCTCAGGACCCTCGCTGTAGACCCAGCTGCAAGGTGCCCCGCTTCAGTGCTCCCTGGGCTCCAGGTGCCAGGGTCCCAGCTGCAGTCTCCGGGAGGCTGCTTCCACCTCTCCTTCAAATCCCGACTTCTCATCCCCACCTGCCCCCACTCCTGGCTATTCCCAGCTTTGGTTTCCTTCACACTTGTCATCTTCTAGTACATCACGGTATGTCCGGCCTCCTCCAGTTCCAGCGTGAGCCCCAGTACCTCACATAGTTCTGTCTGTTTTGCTTCCTGCTGAAATCCATACACCCAGAAGGGTTGTTCATCTACCAGGACCATACTCAGAAGTAACACCTCAAGCAGAGCTCTTCCCAGCTCCAGTTAGTCGCTCTTCCTCTGGACTCTGAAACCTCAGCTCAACTGTTTGTCAACAATGCCAGCCATGGACCCCGTAACCAACCTTCCCATTTGACAGAGGAGGACACTGAGGCTCAGAGAGGATCCCAGCAAGGTGGTGTGGTTAGACAAGCAGGAAACAGTCTTCCCAGTTCCGGAGCCTGGAGAACATCCGTCATACCCTGCCATCTGCATCTGCTCTTCCCTGTTGCACTCGACACTTAGTGAGTGAGCTCCTTAGTCAGCCAGTGGAAGCTTGTGGAATAAATGAATATGTTAGCAAACCATTATAAAGTCTACTGTTACATCTGTTATTTAACTTTTATACCCGTCGAAACAGTCCTTTCCACTAACTCATGGGATCAGTCCGAAGGAAAAATGGACAAGGGAACTACTGGTAGCCAGAGGCTGAGCACATGGATTCTGGAGCCTGACTTTTGAGGTCCAAAGCCTGACTCTGTCACCTTCTTGCTGTGTGATCTTAGGTACCTTAACCTCTCTCTGCCTTTGTTTCTCTATCTGTAAAATGGGGTTAGCAATAGTACTTACTTACAGGGGTGTCTGAGGATTAATTGAGCCAATATTTATAAAACATTCAGAAACCGCTTGGCACTGTAAGGGCTGTGCGAGTTTTAGCCTTTCTACTTTTTTCTGCACTGCAAAATGACACGCCACAGTGCAATTGAACAGTATAAATACCGTCCAAAGCACTAGGTGCTTCACCTTACAGCAGGGCGCTCCTGTGGGTCTTAATTTACTTTCCCCTTTCTACTCCCTTTTAGCTACAGCGATGACAGAGCAGTGACCCACTGGAACGAAGGTGGCCCATGCCATCTGTGAGCTGGCACAAGAAGGACAAATGGATCGCAAAGGCCTTGGTGCTGGGGATGGGTTGTCACTGACCCGCTGCTACACAGCTCCGAGCTTCCTCGGGCGACATTCGCAAGACCTCAAGAAAGGCTATGGTCCAGGTGTCATGATGCCCGGAGGGTGTGTGTGGTCTGCTCCTGGGGGTTTTTTGTTCTTTGTGGTTGTTCATAAGCCTGGAGGAGAGCATTGCCAACTTCCCACTTACCCATACCCCTGCCTGGAATCCCCAGCTTGCCGTCTGAAGCTGCCCTGTTACAGCTCACACCGATGGCCAGGAGGCCCTGCCCCAGCTCTTTCCTTGGTCTGTCCTCAGGCGAGATGCGGCTGCAGGGAATCTGTTCCCCCCGTACTCTGTCAAGTGCTGGAAGTTGGCAGTGCTGGTTCTACCGACTGCAGGAAGATGTGTCGAGGTCCTTCCACAGAACCTGTGAATGAGACCTTATTTGGAAATCGGTCTTTGCTGCCCTATCAAGTTAAGAGGAGGTCCTGTGGGGGTCAGGGGGAGCCCCGACCCAATATGACTGGTGTCCTTATACGAAGAGGAGAAGAGACACAGAGACAGGGAGGAGAAGGCCATGTGACGATGGAGGCAGAGACGGGGCAAGGCGTCTGTAAACTGAGGCATGCGAAGGTAGACTGGCGCCACCAGGGCAATGATGGAGCAGGAAGGGACCCCCCCCCCAGAGCCCTTGGGGGGAGCACGGCCCTGCCAACCTCAGTCTTGGCCGTTTGCTCACCAGGACTGTGAGAGAACAGATTTTACTGCTGGAAGCCCGGTCTGGGCTCCTTTGTGACATCGGCCCCAGGATGCCAACACAGACACCACGTTGCCCGTGGCCGGATGCGTGGCCCAGATCTGGACAGCTCAGCAGCATGTGCGTGTGTGAGCGGCATTGGCACTGAAACAGAGGGACGTTCTGTTGGGACCAGAGTCCGAGGTTTCACTGAGCTCGGAAAACAAGCCCGCAGCAACCCGCCTCTGTCCTTCTATCCAGAGCTCACAGGTCACATGCCGCGTGCCTGGGAAACGAGTAGCTGAGGCAGAGATGCCCACACGTACTCAGTCTCTAAAACACAGAACTTTAAAAATGCTATTTATTATAGTTGGGTATCTTAGTGAGATACATGCTAGTATCTTTCCGCCTACCTGAATCGCACACTCACCACACTGAAACTTTTTTTTTATTAATGTGGCTGATTTTTCATGCATTTGCTGTGTTGCATAGTGACATTTTCAGGGGTGAATACGGCGTCTTGCATGGAGGGCACCTGCTCCAGGGGCCCAGGGCGGCCACATCACTCTAGAATTTGTTTTTCCCTGGAGCGCCTGGCTGGCTCAGTCTGCTGAGTGTCTGACTCTTGGTTTCGGCTCAGGTCATGATCTCACGGTCTTGAGATCAAGCCCCACGTCAGGCTCCGTGCTCAGTGGGGAGTCTGCTTGAGAACCTCTCGCTCTCCCTTTGTCTCTCCCTCCATCGCCCTACCCCAAATTTAAAAAAATTGTCTTTCATTTTATCTGTTTTAACTTTCTTTCTCTCCGTTATTAATCATCTGTCGGTTATCACTTCTTGTGTAATCAGTCTTTCTCCTGTCACCCCTTCATTTCCCTTCTCTGATCTGCGATGGCACAGCCATGCGGCGGAAGAGGGTGGGAATCACAGTGAGTGGCCTCCTGGAAATTGCCCAGATGTCCTTAGGTGAGTACAATGAGTGCCCCTGTACCTAAACTTCGGGGATTTTCTTTAAATTATTCGCAGAGATCTTGTTGGTCCATCTCTCCATTCTTGGTTGTGATTTGGACAGCTGAGTTTATCAGCGACTTTCCGGCAGAACAGACATTATTATAGTTGGTAAAGAAGGTTGTGTGTGTTACTGCCAACAGGAGAGAAAACAGGGTGACTTTTAGGATGATTTTAAGCGCCTTCCACTCATATCCCATGTCCGATTAATCCGATCAACAGTATCTACTGAGTGCTCACTGTTTGCCCCAGCGGAAGGGGCAAACACTCACGGACCCAGAGTAAGTGCCCCCGTGGGTAAGTACTGCACTGCAGCGGGGAGTAAGTACCTGGCAGGGAGTAAGTACCCTGGCTCAGAGGAAGTGCCCCAGCGGGTGGTAAGAACCCCAGCAGGGAGGACGTGCCCCAGCACGGAAGGTCGGCAGGAAATCGCCCCCCAGTGCACCACGGACTGTTACAATGCGAGAAGACTGTAGGATCTAGGATGGACCCCACTTGGAT